CAAGCCATAGAGCCAGCGTTTGTCCGAAGACAATCTTCCGTGGTCACATGGCCAGCACGACTTAGACACGGAATGCTGTTACCTTCCCACTGAAGTGGTCCCTATTTATCTACTCGCATTTGCATGCTTTCGAACCGCTTTGTTAGGCACCTTGAAATACTATTCATTTATTTAAAAATAAAAACCTCTCTTTTCTCTCTGATCCTTCCATTTTATTTTACTGACATAATAAACTTTACAGAAAGGCCTTCACTAAAGCATTAGATATGTTGCCCCTTGCTATTTTAGAAGGTCAACATCAAGGGATTCCGTACAACAGAAGCACCTGCTCCTATGATCCTAAATCGTGAAAAGATTCAACATGTGTTACACTTCACGTTCCTTGTTGGGAACAGATGGCCACGAACCGCCGTTTGGCACTTCAGCATGGTTCAGCAAACCGGGCCCACAGGTGTTGCACTGGTGCCTCGGATCCCCTGCCCCGTCATGTATTTTAAGCTTGAATGGAATTCTATCATACTGCATCATATCGGGTTACAGCGATGCCCTGCATGATGACGATAATCCATTCCGGGAAAATCGCTGTTAAGCAAAACCGTCATCATGCAAAAAATAATTCCCCATTGGAATGCACTGAAACCCATTTAATGCATTCCAATGGGGAAATTACCTCGTCATCCAGCGAAGATCGCCCATAGGGGAAGCCATTTTCCGAGCGCCGATCAGTTGCTAAAAAGGCTGCCCTGCGAAGCATGGGTCCGGAAAACACAGGGCAGCCATTTTATGAACCTGACGGGTCCGGAAAACACAGAGCAGCCATTTTATCAACCTGACAAAGATCGTTGTCTTGCGAATAAACGGTCCGCGAAGCACGGACCAAACTGTCAAGCGGAATTCCCCCACAGGAATGACTGTTTTGCGAATCACTATAGCGATCGCAAAAGTCACCGTCCTGTGGATTCGTCGTACAGCAGGGTTGTCGTCTAGCTAGGTACCACTGTATTAGTCTTTGGCGTGGCTTCGGCGCTAAAGCAATAAGACCGAATGGACTGATTTCATGTCAGTTCAGGTTCAAGGAGCTTGGCGTTCTGAGCCAGACAGGTGGAGCCCAGCTCAAGAGCCTCTTAGAGAGCCCAAGTGTCCATCCCTATTGTTCCCCAAAGCCTTCCTCCTAGGCATCTCCTCTGGAGCAATGCCACCCCCCGGCCCACCCAGCTGAGAAACATCTGTAGGCACTGGACCTTGGGAGCCCTGGGAGGATTCTGTTGAGGAGGAGCTGCTGTCTGTGTACGGCTGGGGCTCCTCTTTCACCTCTGGCAGGAGAGCGTTCCCCGTCTCCACCACCCGGGAGGCCTGCTGCAGCGTCTCTGTGACCAGCTGCCTCGTCTGCTCACTTACAACCGTTGCCTGGAAGGTGACTGGCTTTGGCTTGATCAAGACCTGGGGAAAAAAAAGGAAGGGAGGAGGGTCTGGCATTAGCAGTTTGCTCATCTTTGGAGTTAACACACAGACAAACAACAGCTCAATATCTGAAGTGGGTGGTGGGTGAGTTGTTTGATGAGAATTAACTTTTACATTGTACTTATTGTTCACATGGTTGCTGTTGTTTTAATGGTGTTATCAAACATCTGCAATTGATGAAATCTTTCTAAACCAAAACTTTCTGAATTTGTGATGTTTTTTATGTTTTTATGCAGACTAGTGGCTGATGCTGGGAAGGGCAGAATATAAACTGTTTCGATCAATCCATTGTGTGAAGGGGCCACATGTTCCCCCGCCTGGATTAAGTCAAGTTCAGACTTGAAAAGCAAACCAAGAATTGTCAGTAGTCCCTAGAAGCATCTGAAGTGTAGTGTGGCCAAATTCCACTTTGATCCAGAGACACAACCTCCTCCCCACCAAAATTTGACATTGAAGAACTCGTGTGTTCTCAAGCTGTCTTCAAGAGGCAGAGAGGAACATCCAAAAAAAAAATGTTATAAATTAATTCTTCCTTGATCTTCCACAAATCGTTGCCGCAGGATGAGTGAAACATGCTCCTCCCTTGCCTAAGGACGCTCTTGTCGCCAAGAATTCAAACCTACCTGGGTCTTTCCTTGCTGTCCGTACACAATCTTGGTTGGGATGATCTTGGTGGCTGGCTGAAGGGCAGAGCCGATCCCTTTTGGCTGAGTGACGATCATTTTGGTAATGGGCCTGCTGGCAGTGATGATGGCTGGTTTGGCCCCAGCTGGCACAGCTTGGATAGTTTTCTCTCCCTGAGAAGAAAGTTTGTAGGTTTTCGTTCAAAAGGAAGCTACGGGAGCAAACGGAACTACCGTTTCATTCCTCATCACAAATTCAAGACCGTTATGCCACTTGGCTTACTCCCTTGAGTTATTTAAAACTCACAAGACTCTAAGTACACCTTTCCACAGAATTATATATCTGTTAAAAACATAGCGTAAGGAACACGTCACTCAGATTCCTCCAAGAGAGTTCAAATACCACCCATCCCTTATTTGGCTAACTGTTCAGGCTGTGTGGTCCCCACTCCCCCCAAAACAATACAAATGCAGCAGCAGGTGATTTTTTTTACTGCAGTACTTTAAAAAAACCAAGTACACAGGTAGCTTTCAATGATGATTCATCTTCCTCAGGCAAGATCTCATGTATAGATTTTTTTTTAAAATCACCTTATGAAACTTGCCTGGCACGAACAACAGCCAAGCCATGAAACTTTAGGACTCTAGTATATAGTTTTTACGAACTTTACATGAGATCTTGGTGCATAGCCTGAGGATGATAAATTCTCATCGAAAGCTAGCTGTCTACTTGATTTTTTTTTAAATGGTCCTATAAAAGGTATCACCTGCTTTTCCATCTTTAAAAGAAAGTTCTAGTCTCGTATGATGGCTTATTCTTTTTAAGGAAAATAAAACACAGGTTTTTAACATTTCAGACCAGTGACATGGCAAATTCCTAACACGAATTAGTGAAAAGGTAGGTAAACCAGTTAACATTTCCCTGGGCTTGTGCATCCATTTTTCAAGACTAGCCTTTGCTTTTTACCTGGCTCTAGAAAGGGTCCCAGCTCTGTGGCAGAACACATGCCTTTCACGCTTTTGAGAGCCCAGGTTAAATTCCCGGGATATCATGTGGGAAGGGACGACAAAGATCCCACGGCTGGGATGAACTGGTGACACACTTGGTTGAAGACACCCTGATCTGGCAGGGGGTACTTTTCTAGATCCCTGGCAGGCAAACTGGCGCCTAGAACGAAAGTGAATTTGGTGGAAGCTACTTGGGACCGGCTCTGTTGAGGGGCTGCCATCCCGTTGTATTGATCTACAGACACACCCTCAGGCTGTTTTCTCTGCACGGTGTAGGAATGTGCAAGAAGCCCACCTTCAGGGGAAGGGTCGCCTGGGGACAGGACATGCAAACACTAGTGATCTTACCCAATGCAATTTTAAATGATCTCCCCAAGGAATGGTGCACATGTCTTTGGATACATTGGGTCAGATCAATACATACAACATATCTAGAGTTTCTGGCGTTTAGAAACACTGTTATATAGACAAACAGATATATACCATTTGTTTATTTATTTGGATGGCCAACTCCCAGAATTCTCCAAACGTTCCCCCCCTTGGCAGAATTCCAGGAGTTCCAGGCCACAGACAGAAACCTACAGATCCCTGTTGTGACAAACCCAAACCTACTGGGATATGCCACAGTTTCACTAAGCTGCCACCAACCATTCCCTGTAAGGAGTCACACAGACCAGGAATGGATTTTTAACAAATAAAGGAATAAGGTTTATTTAAAGAACACACAGGGAAAATAAAATGATCAAGTGAATAAGATACAGTAACGTGGCTTAGTCTCAATCATACATACACTCGTTTGGTTCACACAGAACACCTTTAAATAAAGCACAGACCCTGAACCTATCAGTTCTGGCTACCCATACATACACCTGAACCTATCAGGTTGGTACTGACTGACACACAGTAGTACCCTGTCTGACACACAGACTCCCACACCAGCTTCTTCTTCCCAGCTGCTGCTTCTTCTCCTCTGCTTCTCCACACACGCTCTACATATATATACAGTACAGCCCCTCCTCCTGATGTCCCGCCTTCCACTCCCCATAGGATGGAACTTTCCCTCCAAACCCATGACAGACAGGTAACATCAGTGCTGTATGTAACACCTGTATTTCACATATTTGGAACAAGGGCCTAACCATGAGGCTTCTGTTTCCTGCTGTTCCTGTACTGAAAAAAAAAATAGAGGAAATGGTCTACGGTGCTTACTGGAAGGCCTCAATCTTCAAGGTGGAAGGAGCAGTCTTGCCCCCCCCATTAGGCTGTACAGAACAGCGGCCCCAAAGGACTACACATCCCACCAAATAAAAACAAAAAGACACGCACCCCCAAAACTACAATTCTCAGGTCCGCCAGCCCCCATGGCCACTGGGATTATGGGACTTGAAGTCCCACTGGTGCTGCCAAATCCTCCCCCCCCTCAGCTGAAGTACTTGGGACAACCTCATTGCTCTTGAGGTCAGGTCTCCCCCCTGGCTGAAGCTCATCAATCCGCCTCTGCCCACTGAGTCTCACTTACCCCTGCGTTCAGCAGCGTCGTGACCACATTTTTGCCCGGAAGTCCTTGGATAGTGGTGCCCTTCCCTGTCGTTTTTTGCACAACGATCACGTTGGGCTTAGACGTCACAGGGATCGTTGTAATTTTGGTTGTAGTCCCTTGTGGGAGGAGAGACGGAAACGAAGGGTGATGAGAAGGCAAGGCAAGCCGGCAACTACAGCGCTCTTATTTTGTTCCTCTTTAAAACAGCTTCATCTTGGCACAATTGGGGGAGGGGGGGTGCCACTGTGCACAAGAGAACACGAAACCCCGTGTTAGCTCCCTTTCCTTTGCTTGGGAGCGCCAATGTGGAGGGTCCCAAGCAAAGGAAAGACAGAGACGAACTACGCAAGAAAGCCTCCATGTAAGGAGACCAGATACTAGAGAAGTCTGTGATGAGTGCATGAACAAGATGGGTTCCGGAAAGCTTCCTGGATCCTGGCCACAAGAGAGGTTGGACTTAATTACACCTGGGGTAGGGTGGGGGGAAGGAGCCAAAGAAGGAACTTTGAGAAGAAGAGGGCCCCATTCCTCTTCAGAGGATTTGCGAGTCACATTGGAAAAAAGGAGTCTACGTGGACCTCAGTGCTTGGGAGACACCAGCCATTTCCAGCCATCCGAAATACTTAGGAAAACTGGAGCCATACAAGGGGGAGGGAAAGGGGGGGTGTTCAGCGACACGGAGGGGGAGAATTCATACAAAGGTTTCGAGAGCACTGCAAGTTTTGGATACCTTTTTGTTGAAAATAGGTCTTCATCAAGGAGTTACCTTTAAAAAAAATGAAAATAAAACAACTTGGTCTACAAACACACTGGAATTTGGTCGGAAAACAGCTGGCTTGCTGGGAGGGGAGGGAAGATATTTTATCAGGAAAGAGGAGGTAGTAAAAATATGGCACTGTTATAGATGAGCATGCATTTTTGTTTTAAGCGGAGAAAAATCCCTCGCCACCCTCCTGCGCACTTTCATCTACCCATGAGAGGACTCTGCCACTGCTCCTACTTTAAAAATAAATAAATAAAAAACTCTGGCCACCTCTTCTTTGGAAAAACACAGACAAAACACTCCAGTACCATATTTGAGTGGAGGGGCGGCCTTCAGCTGGCCTCGGGGAGGCTCAAAATTGCCCCCTCACCAGGCAGAGCTGCTCATCGCTGCCTTAGACAGAAGGGGAGCAGACCAGAGGCTCACATTTCTAGCATGCAGTCCAGAATCTCTCATTGTAGTTTGATCCTGCGGTGCTGCTGGCAGAAGTATGAGAATAGTCGTTCTAGGAACAGCCTCTTATTTGCCATAGCGCTGAACTTCCCCTGCTCTTCACGCTTAGAAAGAATTAGGATACAGAGAAAAGGCTTTTGGGAGAAAAAATTCTCAGCCATGAAGGGATTTTTAGGTATATACAAATCGCAGGGTGGTTTTTTGTTATGTTTTGTTTTTTGCCACGTGAACATACTCCGAGCCTTCAGGGGCAAAATACTACTTTCTTTCAGTTAACCTAGAGGCAACTTAATGTAGTGTGTTTTACATATACAATCACACTGTAATCTTTATAGCAACTGTTGTGTAGAAATCCGCCTGGGCCTTCACTGGGGAATTTTTAAGCAATTATTAGTACACTGATATTTAGACAGGCCTTCCCGGACTCTTTTATTCCTGATACAATAGCGCTTAAGCAACCAGATACTTGCTAATGTTCAACCCTTGCAATGCCTTTATTATTTTATTTTAATGTCTTATTGATATCATTTTCAGTTGTCTATATTGTATTGACTATTTTATTTTAATGTCTTGTTATTGTACTGTTTTGGTCTAGATGGGCAGGATAGAAATCTTACTACTACTACTACTATTACTACTACTACTACTATTACTACTACTACTACTATTACTACTACTACTACTATTACTACTACTACTACTAATAATAATAATAATAGGCTGGAATGATAATCTACCACAGTAGTTCCCAGATGTTCTTAGACTGCAACTCCCAGAAATCCCAGCCAACACAGCTAGGGGGTAGGGGGGGAAGGCTTCTGGGAGTTTCAGTCCAAGGACATCTGGGGACCTAAGGTTGGGAACCACTGATCTACTATCATAAAGATGAAGAGGTGGCACCAAGACGAACAGCCTTGCATACATTTTGAAGCAGGGAGTTCCCAGTTCACCCCAGCACACTTTCTAAGCTGCTACTCCACTCCACCCCTCACAAGCTATAGATATAAAGGTCTTTCATTCTTTTCACCAATGAGGCTTTCACGAAACAGTAGGACCCTCTGTATCCATGGAATCAGTATCTAAAGTTTCACTTATCTACAGTTTGAAAATATTAAAAATATTAAAAGAAAAAAATCTAGAACAAAACTATTTTCACATGTATTACCAGAACTGGTCAGTAGAGGGAGCTAGAGGCCATGCTATGAATACTTCTTAGTGAAGACTACACTAACTCTGGAGCCCTCTAGTGGCTAGTTCTGTTAATGCATCTGAAAATAATTTTTCCCCTGGTTCTCCCCCCCCCTTTGCCATGCAATATATATATATAGCACTTGCTATCATCCATGGTTTTCAGTACCAGTGGGGGGGAAGTGGGTGGAACCAATCCACAGTGGATACGGAGGTCCTACTGTGTAGTAAAATTATGGACCAGTGGTTCAGAGCAGACAAAGCCAAGTCCCCCTTAATCCCTATTTCATAACCATGGGAGTCCCCCTGCCCCAGGATAAAAGGCAGTGAGAACATGCCTACTTACCGGAAACAATGTTACTGCTGATGATCTTGCCCCCCAGTGTGGCTAATGACTTGGGGACCACCGTGATGATGCTGCCACTGGTGGTCTTCACGTAAGTAGCAGCACCTGGAGTACCGGCCATACGTGCACCCAGAGATGGACTTACTGTTGGACGGGAGTAAGTCGCTTGAGTCCCTGGTGCAGTGGGGGGAAAGAAAGAGGAGAGACATCATTGGAACAAAGCATTAAACACCCCTGGAAGAAGCACACTCTCAAGGCAGGCACCAAGGCAGGTGTGTCCAGTGGGGAAAGAACACAGAGAACACAAGCAACCTTCACTCTGTAGCTAGTAGTAGCAAATGTTGGGAGGTTTTATGCCTCCTGTTTGACTGGGTCCACTTTCAGACTGCAGCTGAAAGTTCACATAACTGAATGCTCCTTCGCATATACGCCATCCATGTAGAAAATCAGCACATAAGGATCAATATACTAACTTTGCAAAGTATGGCATATGCAGGGGGCAGGCCGAACGAATCCACCCTTTCCTTCATACTCCTGAATTTACAATTAGGACAACAGAGTAACTCAACCAGGTCAAGAAGCCCCTTCAATGCCTTCCCTGACCTCTCCCCACATGGCACAAGGGTCTCCTGGTGTGCTCTGTGGCCTTTAACACTCCCTAGCTGCGAAAGTGGGATGTGGTGGTGCTGCGGGTTAAACCACAAAAGCCTCTGGGCTGCAAGGTCAGAAGACCCACTGTCGTAAGATCGAATCCACGCGGCGGAGGGAGCTCCCGTCGCTTCTCCCAGCTCCTGCCAACCTCGCAGTTGGAAAGCATGTAAAAATGCTAGTCGATAAATAGGTCCCACCTTGGTGGGAAGGTCACGGCGTTCCGTGTCTAGTTGCACTGGTCACGGAAACTGTCTATGGACAAACGCTGGCTCTTCGGCTTGGAAACGGGGATGAGCCCCATGCCCTTGAGTCAGATACAACTGGACTAAATGTCAAGGGGAACGCTGACCTTTATCAGCGAAAGACTTACCAGCAGGGGCCGTGACCAGTTTGGTTGTCATGATAGTCCCATTACTGCTCACCACCATGATTGGGGAGCTGCTGCTACTGGGCAAGGTTGCCGTGACTGGCTTGGGCAGGATTTTGCTGGGCTGAACTTGCTGAGTGATTATTTTGACACCTAAGAAAATGAGAAGGCAAACAATTTAGAAGTATGAAAAAACCTGTTCCACCTACCCAGCTTAGGGTCTGTGCATTAAGGCACAGAATGCGTGTGAAAAGCTCCCCTGTACAAACAAAGCCCATAGAATTCTTGCCAAATAAAAAGCAACAACCCCCAAGAGATGTACCATCAGCCAGGAGCTATTTGAATATGCTGAAAAAATATATACCTGTGAACATAGGCCATAGAAAGATCCACTGCTCTAGGGGCCAGCCTTGAGATTGTAAAGCTAGGATGGAGAAGATAGCTAAACCCCAGGGTTTAGCAATGGCCACCAAACTATCACACACACATAGCTGGTACCTGGTATTTAATGGTACAGGTTCTACATTGCTGTCACAGCTAGTAGAAAAGATGGGGTAGAACTAGGGATGTACAGTTTGATTTGAGAAAATGCAAAAAATATTTTTTTTCCCTTGGTGTAAATTTTTTATTGGCCTGGGAGTGCTTTTGCATATTTCAAAGATTGTTTGAAGGGCACAATATCAGAAGAAGAAGAAAGAGAGGGAAGTGTTGTTTTCTAGCAGAAACTAACAAGCATAATAAACACTGGATGAACAGGCCTTTTTTAAATCAATCTGTCTTGTTCTTGGGAACTTGCTAACTTCATGAATGAGAAAGGATTCTAGTTTTCATTCTCCACAAAATTTGGAACTCGCCGTGGGGAATAAAACCCCCAATAATTCTCTTGTTCTTGTGCTGCAAATGAAAACTCACACGGGATTTTACTGTCTCAACCAAAATGAGACAGCCATGAGACTTTTAAACAATTATCCCGATGCATTATCCTTTTTGAAGCCATCTAAGCTAGCCATCAGATACCCCTCCCTTGCTAGCAAAGTCTTTAAAACAGGCATGACAGTGAACAAAGACTCTCCCCAATTTGTCCTACATCCATCTTCCCATCCCTTCCGCTCAGCGACACCCATCATTCCTTCCCGTTAAGGGCCGGTGCAAGTAACAGAGTGGTACAGTACCTGATTCCTGTTTGATCTGGATGGTGGGCTTGATGCCTTGTGGCAGAGGAGACTGCTGAGGAGGCGGGGGCAGGGGCAGCGGGGGCTGTTGCTGAGGAGGCTGGGGCTGCGGCTGGGGCGACACCTGTGTCAACGGCTGCTGCTGTTGCGCTTGTTGCTGTAGCTGTTGTTTGGGTGACAGCTGCTGCTGCTGCTGCTTGGGAAACTGTGCTAGGATCTGGGTGGGTGTCCCCACCAGGCTCTTGGGAGAAGGCAGCCGGGTTGATGCCACTTTAATGGCCGACGTGCAGACACCTGGCAGAGAAACACAACATCCCGAGAGACTTTTCCCATCCTGCTTACAACTTTTTTTGAACTGTTGCCGTCTGGCAGAAGAGACAGAACAATTAAGACTCGGACCTCACATTTTCTGAATAGTTTTTATCCCAGAGCTATAATTGCACTTAATAATGAGCTTAAAGACCACCAGTAGCGAATAGCTGGACAGTGTTACTTAGCCTGCGGTGTAGATCTTTGTATTCTTAGTGGGGGATTTTTAGTGGGTGGGGAGTGTTTGGGGATTTTTTTGTGTGTGTGTGCATGTGGGTCTGGTCTCTGGGTGTCTGTGTGAATTTTGTTGTATGAGTATACCATGTATATACTTAGAATGACAATAAATTTCTTTGAAACAACAGGCAGTTGTCGGTCACTGATCGCCCCAGGCTTTAGTGATGGCGCGCACGGACGCACGCACACACTTCTTAGGTGTAGTCATTTTAGTTCTCCTTGGAACCCCATCACTTGAAACTACCTAGTGAGAGATTCAGGAAACCCCAAAAGAAGTACCTCTTCACACAAGAGTATGGTGAAACTGTATCTCGGATTACCGCAAGATGCCGTGACGGCCCCCGAGCTGGACAAAAGCAGGTAAGTCAAGTTCACGGACCATCGGGTTCCCAGTAGCTACGAATCCTAAGGGCTCTATGTTACCTCCAGTATCAGAAGCAATATGGATCCTATACCAGTTGCTGAGAAATACAAACATAAGGGACCTATCCTGACTGCAAGCTTCTCCAGTTGGCTGCCGCAGGAACTGAATGCTGCGCCCAATCTTACACAACTCAATTCTTGAGTTTTGGCCTAATTCCTGCAGATAGACTTCTAACTGGTGATGCCAGACAGACACTGGCGACAAGGAAATGTGTTGTTGTTTTTTATTTCTCAGGGTAGAGTACAACAATAACATGCAACATCTGTTCTGAACGTGAATTAAAGTTTTTCACGTAAATATTCTTAAGAAAAGCAAACATCTCACCTTGTGCGACTGTTGACATAACCACAGAAGGTGTGGACGACACCACGGTGGTCACAGCAACTGTGCTGGGAGCGGAGGAAGGAGTGGAACAAGCCCCAGTAGTAGTGGTGGTGGTGGTGCTGCTAACCAGAGAGGACTGGGAAGCGGTGATCACCACCGGCTGCTTCTGGGTGGTCGAAGCGATGACGGACGTTGGGACCAGCTTGGTGACAGCTGCGTAGTTGTGAGACTTGGAAAGGATGTTGGGGACAAAGGTGGAGCTAGGAGAGGTGGTCACAATGATAACCTGGAAAAGAAACCAAGACACCATCTTTCATTAATCATATATTAGGCTGACTTTTTGCAACCCTGTTCACCTCTTCCAAACTTCAAGGCCTCGGCGACGGCCCGTCCTTAGAGTAGCAGGAGTGTACACAAGCTCTTTAAGCAGAGAACTTAGACAATGTTGCCAGCTTCGGTCCCCAGATGTTGTTGATGTCAACTTCCCAAAGCAGCAGTTATATTTTGGTTGATTACACTTGTCCTATCACCAAAGGTATGCACAACAAACCGCAAAGTCTAGCTTACAAGTTGTTTGTTTTCAAATCTATTTCCGTCTCTTAGTTCGGTGTCAAGCACAGCAAGAATACTAATAAGTACAGGCTGTCTTGAACAGGATACTTGTTTGAAGGAAACTTTAAAAGATTAGACCGGAGGACGCAGCACAAACAAACAATGTTGTCTCACCAAACCGGAACCGGAACCCTAAACACTCTTTCCTCTTAGGGCTTGGTTTCCAGCCCCCTGATCATCTTTGTTGTCTCCTTAGATTCAGGGGACCCAAAGTCTTCATCTACCCAGAACAAAGAGAGCGCTGATCCAAAAGTCACCACTCTCCATCTCATCTGGTTATGTGACATCATCATAAGGTGAGCCACAACTGGCTAAGTTGCCTTACAAGCATGTCATCTCACTCTCTCAGTAGATATACCGTATTTTTTCATGTATAAGACTATACTTTTGTCTAAAATCTCTAGACTAAAAATTGAGGGTTGTCTTATACACGGAAGTAAGCTGAGGAGAGAGAGAAAAACAAGTGCAGGAGAAAGCAGGGATCAAAGTGATCCTGCAGGGCTTTAATTCCTTGCTTTCTCTCCACTTGCTAAGCCTTAGGAAACGGAAAACAGGTATCAAAGCGCTGTAGGATAGCTTTGATCCTTGCTTTCCCCATGGGGCTTAGCAAGTGTAGGGGGATCAAAGCAATCCCATGGCTGTATAAGGGGAAAAGGGATGAAAACGATCATGCAGTCATGGGATTGCTTTGATCCCTTTCTCCCTCCTTTTGCTAAGCTCCGCGGGGCTTAGCACGAAGGGAGAAAGCAGGGATCAAAGCGATCCTGCAGTGCTTTGATCCCTTTCCCCCTACACTTGCTAAGCCCCACTTAGATTTCTTAATTTTAGATTAGAAAAGTGTGGATGGGGCGTATTATACATGGGGGTGTCTTATACATGGAAAAATATGGTAAGATAGTGTGTTCTTAGAGTGAGAAACCTGTGGGTCTCTAAACAGTGTGGCACTCCGACCCCTTTCAAGAATGATGTGGACTGCAGTCCAACCAGCAGAAGGACCACGTATTCCCCCTCCACCCACTGGGGGAAGATGACTCCCACCAAGCAAGCCAACCAGGCTCCTCCCACAAATGCTGTCCTGGCATGGACTACAACTCCCATAATCCCTGGGCAGCACAGCGACTGAGGAGGATGAGAACTGGGAAACCCACACACAGGAGACAAGTCAGAGGATGTGACTGAATCTAGACTCGTGGGCGTCGAATGGCTCAGCCAACTTCTGCTCCCTACCTTCTGGGTCGTGGTGTTGGTTGTCTGCGTTGATGGTTTGGTGAAGGTAATCTTGACGGGGGACATGTGGGGTGGCAAGGAGTTGGCGATGCTCTGCATGATGCTGCTCATCTTGGGGCTGCCGCTGACGGGCACCGTGATGGTCTTCGTGACAGGCGTGGCGGCCTTTGGAACCTCCTTCAGGAGGACCGGGGAGGAGCTCGAGGAGTTGGTCCTCCGCCTTTTGCGGGGCTTCTCGTCGTCATCGGAGCAGCTCACACCTGCAATGACACCCCCCACCCACCCCAGTCAGAAGCACAGAACTGCAAAGTGGGAGAGGACACCAAGGGGTCATCAAGTCCAACCAACCAGAATTCCCAGCCAAAGCATCGCCGGCACATGGCTGTCCAAATTCATCCAAACCCTCCGACTGAGGAGAGTCTACATTTTCCAGGGCATTTCATGCCACTATTGGAGGGATCTCACTACAGTATCAGGAAACGCCTCCTCGTGTGCAGTTGGGAGTCTCAGTTCTTGTACCTTGAAATCCATTATTTTGGGTCTCCTTCTCCAGAGCTGCAGAAATCAAGCTTGCCCCACCTTGCTTGTGACCATTATCATATCATTTTTTCATTCTCTCTCTCTCTCTCTCTCTCTCTCTCTCTCTTTTAAACTTTCAGGCTAAACAGGCCCATCTCCCTCAACCATTCCTCACCAGGGAACGATTATTCTTCCAGAACTTTTACCATCCTATCTGCCCTCCTCTGGACAAATTTTGACTTGTCAATACCCTTCTAGGATGTTGCTGATGCAGAGAACTGGTGACCAAACCAGACAGCAGTTTTACTGCTTTCCTCCCTGCACCCACTTCAAGGAGGCGGAAGTGCTACTCAAACACTCTCAACACTCTTCCTATGCAGGAAAAAATAGGAGTGGCTGAGGTTAATCAGGTCTCCTTTCTAACCAAGAAAGGGGAAAAAAAACACTACCTTCACTCCTCCACCTTCTTTTCCTTACTGCCCTAACCACAACAACCTCTTCAAACAAATTATTCAACTTGCTCATTGGCCTTTTATTTATTTGTTTACAATATTTTATCCCGCCTTTCTCTTTCATAGGAACCCAATGGGGCTTACCTCATTAAAAAGACTATAGGTAGAAGCTAAAACAGGAGGTATATAAATATTTTAAAAAGAATTGAAAATAGTAATAAAATCAATACTAAAACATATTTAAAACAGAACACAACCATTCTAAAAAAAAAAAAACCCTCTCAGGCCACCAGGCTGTACTAAGGGACAGCCTTCCTGAATAACACATTTAAAACAACAGAACACAACAATTCTAAAAAAAAACAAAACCCCTCTCAGGCCACCAGTTACTAAGGGACAGCCTGCCTGAACGGAAAAGTCTTTACCTGCTTTATTCCACCTGCCTGTCAGTAAACCCAAGGGACTTCAAATGCAGCTTACAGGACAATGGATGGCAGGGCCGCTGCCCCCTTCAAAGCCTCACTGTCTGTCCCCCCCCTCCCCAGTCTTCTCTGCTCCTCCAAGCTGCCATTTCACCTGACGCTGTACTCACTTTTGACATAAACCGCACTTCCGCTTGGCAGGACGACGACATTGGAAGCGGGACTGGCGGGTCGGGGGGACTTCACGGTGGCGACGCTGCCGCTTGGAACCGGGGTGGACGTTGGGGTCGAGGTGGTATTCGTGTAGGAATAGCAAACCACCACTGGAGAGGAAAGGAAGACCATGCTTGCTACGCAAAAGGAAATCCCGGATCCTCCCTCGGGAGCAGGCCAACGTGTGGCTCCCCCACAACTGCAGCCAGACTGCAATTCCCGCCATTGGTTGGACCCATATTAGGGCTGACGGAAGCTGCCGCCATTCAGGCTCCACAGGGCCAAAGGTCGTCTACCCTTGTCTTACAGTTTTCACGCTCCTAGGAGAGCTTCAAAGCCACAAGCTGACCTGTTACTACCCCAACCCCAAAACACACATTGCTTGGAATATATATTTGATCTTTGCATTTATTCAATTCTGGGGCATGAAGAGGGAACATGGGATGCTCCTGTCAAAATCTAAAGAAGCACAGCTATGGATTCCATACCTATTTTCTGAGATGTGGTTCATACTGGTGCCAGAGGAGCCCAAACATGTGCCTTCTTAGGAAAGCAACCGGGGGATCTCATCCTGCTTCCAAGGCCTACTAGTGGCTCTTCTCTTGGATAACCCTTGAAACAAGTACCTAGGAGCTGCCTCTGCTATCAGTCCCTCCTCCAAAGCCCAGGAAGGGCACTGCGCTAGGAGCATGGTGAAAAACTGAACTGGCCCCTCCTAAATCCAAACGGTCTGACCCTGCCCGAGGCAAAGCTGATGTGATCCACTTTGCCCAAGGGCCTGGCAAGCCTAGAACTGGCTCAAAGCTTTACACTGGCTGGACTGGGTGTGTGTGTCCTGCATCTGGGTACTACAGAAACACTGTCTAAAGAAAGAGCCCAAAGACTGACGAAGATTTAAAAGCAGGGATCCCCAAACTCTTGAGTGGCAGTTCCAGGGGGCACTGTGAAACCCACACAGAGCTACAAAGGCTAGAGTTGCTGTTCATCGCTTTATGGCCTTCATAGCTCTATGCTGAACAGGAAGCAGAAGCCTCGCGGCTGCCTCTCCTCTCCCCTTCTCTATGGTCCCCAGTATAAGTGTTGGGTGGCGGGTGGCCTCGTGAGTTTTCCTGCCTCAGGATCTGGAAGGAGGAGAGCCCTCAGGGATATTTGGGGGGAGGGGAGAGAGAAGATGGGATGGTTGGGTGGGTGGGGATCAAAATCCTGCCTCTGGTGGGACAGAGACCCCCTGATGGCCACTGCGAGGAGAGCTGTGGCCAGTTATCAATAAAACAAGGGCAAAATGTTTGGGAAACACTAATTTATAGGCTTAGGAGAGGGCTCCTCCTGGCATTACAAAACCCAGCTTTCTCCCACTCCCAAAAGCACAAAGAGAGAACGGCAACATACCCTCACCTTCTTTGCTTCCCGTTTCAGCCGGGGAAGGGAGGGAGGCATTGTGCTGGAGAGCGGCGCTGGCAACGGCATTTGCCGTGACGGTAAAAGCTGTCTGGGGAACCAGCCGCGGCATGAGAGGCACCAGCCGCCGACCTTCGACGGACCATTCCGAAGAACTGTTGGGCCCTGACATGCTGAAGAGAGAGACACACCATCCTGACGTCTCTGCTGCATCCAGCCAGGTCTCATCACTAAATCACCTTCATCATAACCAGAAAACATTTTCCCACAAACTCCTCTGTCTGAAGCTAGGGAAACAAAACATTCTGCACGAGAACAGTATGGAAAAATTCTGTGGGCAGTCACACCTTCAGAAGCTCTCTGGTCAACCCACGGGTGTTGCTGGTTCCAGAAGATCTTCTGTAGCAAAATCTCCACCTGATGTCTTGGATGGTCACTGGTATCTCAGGAGGCCATACGGAGCTAAAGAGATTTGACAGCTACCTATGTGAGGAAGGGGGCCGTTGCTTGTTGGTACAAAACAAGCCTTACAGGCAGAAGGAGCCAAGTTCGATCTCTCCAACCAGACAGATCAGTGACAGAGGATAGGAGCCTGTCTGGACTTTTTGAGATCCTGGAAACTAACTCTGGCTACTCTTCTGCTCTGCCGTGACTTTCCCAACTTCATTTGTCACACTTACTTATTCTTTTTTTCCTTCCTTCCTTCATCAACTCCTTCCTTCCATCCATTATCAGCTCCTTCCTTCCTTCCTTCCATTATCAGCTCCCTCCTTCCTTCCTTTCATTATCATCTCCTTCCTTCCTTCCATTATCAGCTCCCTCCTTCCTTCCCTTTCCTTCCATTATCATCTCCTTCCTTCCTTCCATCCATCATCAGCTCTTCTCTCCCTCCCCTGCTATCCTAGCGATGCCCAACAGCACCCGTGACTTTTTGCTACAGAGGAAAGCAAAAGACCTGCTTCAGAGATGACAAGGGAGAGGCCTTTTTACCCCTTCCTCTAAACAGCCTGCCTCAAAGTGCAAGGTACTTCAGACTTCTAAATGAATGAATAGTAGCAGGTGAGCAAAAACAGATGACCTGTGTCTCAGGGAAGTTATCGATCTGGCCCAAATCCCAGTGGGTGGCACCTAAGCTGAAGCTGCCTTTTAAACTGTTTTCAGTGACCTCGGCCGAAGAAAACCATCAACCCTGTTTCCTGAAGAAGAATCACGAGTTCTTCTGGCTCAGGAGCCAACCAAGTCCTTTTCATCTCACCCCCTCCTCTCAGCAGCTAGAAGGGACATGAAGTTCTGTCAAATGTTCTCCGTCACACCAACTCTGCCAGGTAGGCCTTGCCGAAAGCAATTAGGCTACAGACACCTGGTGAGAATCATGACTGGCTGGAGATCTGACCCACCCCACTCCAACTGATGTCAACTTCTACTACTAGGCACTGGAGGAATGGCACGGAAAACAATGAGCAGTTGTGCACCTGAAACACGGCTTACGAGAGTCTAAAAGGATTGCCATCTTACTTATGTGCTATTGTTGTCAACCGTTCATCATTGACCGCCCTCCGAACTTCAGCCCGATGCCTTTCCGTTGAAATACTGTTGAAAGACGTCAGAGTGTTAATGGACAAAGAGATAAGCTCTGAGCTATTAAACTTCTATCTGTACATATATTTGTTCAATTTTCAGCAACACTGCCTTTCTGTCATCGACATGCAACAAGAAGGCTCGCCTCTGCACACTGTAAGTCCTAGTAGGACTGCAATAGCTGTGGGGAATTGGTTCCAAGCCTCCCTGCAGATACCAAAAAATGTGGAAGTACCAAATGCTATCCACTGTATGGTCTCTGACTCTCTCTATTGATCAGTTCTGATAAATACAACCTGGAAATACATATAAATACATATTTCCAGTGTTTTTTTAAAATTCAGGCAGCAGATAAGTGAATCAGTGAATACTCATCCCGCAGATGTGGTGTGTGTGTGTCCTACTGTACTGGAATTTTTATTCAAATTTAAAGTCATTAAAAATTACAGTATTGCTTGTAAACAACACATGAAAATCTAATCATGTATTTGTATTCCTTTGTGTATATGTCAACCACTGATTATGTTTACTAATACAAGCAGCTGGCTTTTGCCATATCTCATACAAACTGCCCAGTTGGTTGAGATGACTCATGCAGTTACCCTGCTCAGTCAGTTTTCTGTAAATGCAAACAATCATACCCTTAGCCACTAACTATTGATATTTTTAATTATTCATATGCCACGGAGATAACAGTCACACAGAGAGTAAACAGAGTCAGAAGCCAGGAGGAGAACACCACAAAAGCTGTAGAAACCGTTCTTCAGAAGAATCAGAAAGAAACTTTGCCATAAAATTGTCAAACTATTAGAACTTATAGGTACATTTAATTCTATTTTGCTTATGGTTAGGGTTAGGACTTAATGGAGAGGACGATTTTATTCTCTGCTGGCCCAACTGTCCTATGGCCTTGCCCTCTTGAATAGCATCAACAATTAGCCACTCTGTAAAGCAAGGATGGGCAACTGCGGTCTTCCAGATGTTCAAATCTAATTCCTAGCACCCCAACACTATTAGATAGAGCTAACGAATGCTGTAGTCCAACACTACCTCATGGGCCAGAATCATCAATGCCTGTCATAAGGGAGAGCGGGGGCGGGGGGAAATACCTTGATTTTGGCACTGACTCTCCCCACTTGTTCTCCATCCCTATTATGCCTATCTTTCCTTTTCACTGCCTATCAGTATACCAGGCTTGCCTTCCTTCCCCTTCACATGCATGAGCATCTAATTTTTACTTCAACCCTGGTGACAGGGTTCTATCTACCACTGCCCCTGATGACACCACACCAGGAGAGTTCAGGGGGTGCATGACTGGCTGCATGCTACACAAAGCCCCGTTGTTCAATCCCTTGCTACCACTCTGTATTCCTTCTGCCCCACTGCTTAACGATAGGGACAGTCCTGCAAATTATCTGACTCTTACCAGACTCTGATCGGGGACTATGCACTAGGAGCATCTCGTGACAATCCTTCAAAGAGCTGTGCTGACATCCGATCTATTTCTGGGCACAAATTAAAATACTAGCACTTAAACCCATTCAGAGCTTTGAACCGCAATAACATCAAGGAAAGCCAACCTTTGTATCATCATCATCATCACAGCAGGTTCTCCTCCAGATTTCCCGTCACATGAGGTGCAGTGGGTGGACAGTAACTGGGGGACCACTGATTTAATTAATTATTTAAATTATTTTTATCCCACCTTTCTCCTTAAAAAGAACTCAAGCCTTCTCAGGGGCTACATCCCCTTTTTGTACCACATTTTCTCCGGTTTTGCTACCAGTGCAATAGCAATGAACAAGGGAGGGACTCTATGATGTTAATTGAACTTAATGCTGAGAATGCTGTCACAAACAAAAATAGAAGTGCAAGTGCAATGTAATGAAAAGACATATTTAGGCATTCCAGTGTGACAGGAAAAAAAAGATGCAACATCTTTGCTGGTTGTGATGCCATTAAAAAAATAAAATGTTTTCTACAGGAGGCTTGCCAGTCACCTTCCACTGCAAGTTTAACCAGCCATGCCTTTTGCACATGAGGAATTGTGCATATCTATTGTGTGGTGCTGGTTACTGCAGCTTCAATCACAATGTGAACTGCTTTAACTACAATTCTCAGATTAAACTGTTTCTAAATGTTCAAGCTTTTATGGTTTGTAAAATGCTTCCCTTACTTCACACACCTTTGTACCTGAACTAGTAGGGAATATATATGACCAATATAAGAAGTCTGGATTTACCTAAGCACTTTGGAGAGTTCCCCAAGAAGATCTTTCTTCTCCTTCGTAAGATCCCCCTGGGCACGCAAAGCACTGATAACGCCTGCATATGCCTCCAATTCTATAAAAGAAAAGGAGAGATAGAAATTATGACTGTATCACAGGGGGGAAAAGAAGAGGGATTATAAAGTTCAATAGAAGGCTGGTCTTCTCTGTCTCACAGAAATGCAAAAATTATGAAATTACGGCTGTCCTACTTTGGGCACATCATGAGAAGGCAAGATTCTCTGGAAAAGAGAATATTAATGCTGGGAAAGGTGGAAGGCAGCAGGGAAAGAGGAAGATCAAATATGAGATGAATGGGTTCCTTCAAGGAAGTCGCCAGTTTGCGTTTGCAAGAATGGATCAGGGCTGTGTTGAGGACAGGACATTCTGGAGAATGTCCTGAAGAACAAGAATATCCTTCTAGTTCAGCCTTCATCAATCCAATAGCTTCCAGACATGTCAGATTACAGGCTAGCTGGGAATGATGATGCTCATAGTCCCACCATTTATGAATGGCACTGGGTTGAACTATGCCAGCAGATTCTCTAAGTCTGTCGCTCCACATACCAGGAAGGCAGTTGAACTATGCCAGCAGATTCTCTAAGTCGCTCCACATACCAGGAAGGCGCAGGCAGAACAAAGCGGCTTCAGCTCAGTACTGTAACTGGGAGGTGGGGTGGTGAAGAGCTGCTGAACAAGAGGAAGAGAAGCTCAGAAAAACCTCTCTTATACCTGGTGATCCAAATACTTAGTACTTCTATCTATTTATCCAGGATGGGTGACTCCAGCAGGCCTGAGAACTAGAAGCAACAGCCCCAGAAAAAAAGCTTAGTAGACAGGACAGTCCTCCAACATTGTATTCTGAAATGCTTTGCTGGCCCTTTACCATTACATACAGATCAGTTACTGAATACCTTCCGCTGATCTTGAGGAGCCAGATCCTGCAAGAGACAGTGGAGAGAACAAGAATTCTCAGCAAGAGTTCTCAGCTTCAGCATACCCAGTTTGCGAAGGATCCTTTTGCATTCATCTCGGCTGAGATCCAGAAGGGTTGGCCACACAACAGGCATTGTTTCTCTTTCGTTCTGCTCCCACTGGAGCTCAGCCTCCCTGCAAACACAATATAAACATAGAAATTCTCAAGAAAGGAGTTCTTCCTTGCAGACCCTCGTGAACGCTGAACCACCACCAACGAACACACACAGGCACACAAAACAGAGCAAAAACCAAATAAACAAAAAGGAAGCCTGACATGGGCAAACTACAGTTCTGAGGGAGTTGAAAGGAGCAAGAAAAGAGCCATTTACCAATGTCTTGGTGCTCCTGACAAAAAGGAAATCAGTGCAACGTGCTAGGGCCAGAAGGAAGCAGGCTAGAGAAAACTGACCTGCACGCACCCCAAAGTAGACCTCTGTAGGATGGTTCTATCCTCTAAAATGGAAGCTGGTTTACCCCTGCACAAAGTAGGCAAGGTCTGGTGTAAAAGAGTCTGTCTGGAGGAGGAGAAGGGTTGATGGCGGAAACAATAGGACTGCCTTGCATCTTTTAATGGCTTCAGCATCCTGGAGGATCTGTTTCATACTTTGCTGTATGTCAGAAACTTGAACTCAATGAGGCACAAAATACTTCAGCCTTCTTCTTCTTCTTTCTTCCTCCCCTCTCATTTTTCGGGAAAAAAAAAAACCAGGGGAACCCCTGTCTGACTTCTGGCAGGATTAAAAAAAAATTTCTTTGGGGCCCACCATATATCTAAATCTCAGGTACATCAGAGCAAAAATAACAGTTGGCCAGAAACTTATTGGTAAGTGCAATGGAGTAACTGTAGTGCTGAATTGCCATTAATTTACAAGTCACTGTTCATATCATCTGTCATTCAGTCTGAGGAACTGTTGCACGATAAGGGGTACCAACAGATACTTTCCACTAACCAAAGGCAATTTGCTGCTGTGATGCACCAAGGCACTCAGGATGATAAAGTCAACCAATAAGACTCTGATGGCTGCAGCCATTTTGGTCTTCCAGGTCCAAGTCAAGGGAAGATTTGCAAACTGACTCAGGTCGGGCACAAATCTCTCTGGACTGGAGAGGAATATGCTACAAACCCAAACTGAACAGCAAATGAGGGAACCTCTGCACTACCCTAGGCACTACTGGTAGTCCAGCAGCACCAACAGAAGGGAAAGATCCAGTTCTTTGGCTTCTTCTTTTTTCCAATGCTGCTGCTGCTCATCCCATTCCTTCATTCAAGGAACTCAGGGAAATGTCCTTGGTTCTCCATCAACAATGTTAGCCTCACAGTAACTGTTTGAAATAAGCCAAACTAAGACAACTGAAGCAGGCTTCTAGGAGGGAGGGAGGGACGATTGGTCCCCAAAGCAAATGGAGTTCAATGTAAACCAAGCAGAACTGACACACAGTGAGGAATACAAACCTAACATCACAAATACAGCGACAGAGGCTAAGCGGATGACTGACTCTGTCTTCCTTACCTCAAATACACACTAAAGTCACCACGCCTCTAGAATCATAGACTCATGAATTTGGAAGGGGCCTCTAAGGCCATCCAGTCTAATCTCCTGCTCAAGGCAGGAATGCAAATCAAAGGATAGCTGCCAGGCGGTTGTCTAAACCTGAAGCTGGTCAAGCGTCAATCTAAATGATCGAGCAGCAATGACTGGGCCTTTTTTAGGGTTGGGGGAGAGGCATCATGGGTGCATAACAATATAAATATTGTATCTTTTGACCTGGGATCATCCAGTGAATGGTGGAAGATACAGGACAAAGAAAAGTATATTCTCATACAGCACAGAATCAAAGCAATCATTTGCTTCCACAGGTTATACAAATGGCCATAAATCTTCCTAAGGCCACTCCAAGCACATTCATGGCAGAAGTGAGACTAAAACCACAGACTGGTTCATAGCTCAGTTTCTTACACAACAGCCTAGCATTCAACTTACAGCAACCATAATTCAAGGTATCAGAGACATTTAAAGAGTGGCTTTAAACTCCTCCCCCCGTGAGCTTCCATGGCTACAGCAACCATAATTCAAGGTATCAGAGATATTTAAAGAGTGGCTTTAAACCCCTCCCCCCGGTGAGTTTCCATGGCCAAGTGGACATTTCAGCTCAGGGTCTTCTGAGTCTGCTCTGTTCAATATACCTGGCCCTCTATAACAGCTTTCCAATCAGGAAGTTAAGAAGAAAACTAAAGCACAGGGAGAAAGGAGCAACAGCCAGAAAACATGGACAAGTCACATTTTCTGGTCTCTAACTTCCAAAATCTACAAAATAGCACAGTTGCTGGCCATAGAAACCAGGTGAATTCTCAACATTGCAGTCCTTAATAATAAACATTCCAAGCTCTGGAAAAGAAATTCTGAAACTCTGGCTCAAATGGAGAGGGAAATCTCCATTTCTCTGGCTTACAGTTCATTTCTTTCTTTCTTTCTTTCTTTTCTTCATGTGCTTGCTCCCTTTTCTCTCAGTAGAGGCACCCAACGTGGGCTGCATTTTGTCAATACAATATAAAAGTAAAGGTTCCCCTTGACATTTAATCCAGTCGTGACTGACTCTAGGGCAGGGTGCTCATCCCTGTCTCCAAGCCGTAGAGCCAGCATTTGTTCGAAGACAGTTTCCATGGTCACATGGCCAGCGCAACTAGACACGGAACGCCGTGACCTTCCCACCGAGGCGGTACCTATTTATCTACTTGCATTTTTACATGCTTTCCAACAGCTAGGCTGACAGGAACTGGGACAAGCGACGGGAGCTCATTCTGTCGCATGTATTTGATCTTATGATGGTGGGTCTTTTGACCTTGAAGCAGAGAGGCTTCTGCAGTTTAACCCGCAGCGCCAACACATCCCACTCCAATACAATATACTCAAACACAATTAAAAACACAACAAGGTACTATTAATTTCAACAAATAATAGTAAAAACTGCCATTTATAAGCATGAAAAAACATTAAAAACCTAGAAGAAGTAGGAAAAATTATATGTATACATTTTAGCATCCCATAGCAGTACTTAACTTGTTCAAATCAATTAAAAGCTTGTCTCAAAAAGAAAGGTCTTCATTTTCTAGTGCTAACTGAAGGAGACCCACTGAACGAACTGTTGTAAAACGTCTTAGTTTGATATTTGGGACTATTAAATAGATTCAGGGCCTTGCTCTTCAAACAGAGCAAAAAGGAAACATGTGACACTTCACTTTTGAACTTCAGATTGATTGAAGTCCAAACTAAACTCAACATTTTATTTCATGCAAAAAATACATATTCTTGATCTGAGCAGTTATAAACTTTACTTGGGCATCATCACCATATAAATACACTTACTTAAAGGAACAAAATAAGAGTGGTCATTTCATTTCCTAACAAAAATGCATACTTTCATGGTATACTGTGTATATACTTACAATGACAATAAATTATATTATTATTATTATTATCATACAGCACATTACATCATTAGAGCTGAAACAGCAGGAGACATGGGCTGTTCCAAAACAAAGCTCAATTCTACACCAATTTCTAAGAAAATAAATCTCAACACTCCAGTTCCTTAGAGCCAGTCACGTCAAACAAATATAAAACCTAAGCAAACAACACATGGAACATTGGAAGGGTTCTTCTCAGCTGCTACCTCAACATTCCAAGGGAGAGAAGTAGATCAAGGAACTGCAAAAGCTTTTAAAAGGAGAAATTAAAGATATAAAACAGTTACATTACACATTTTAAAATACTGTCATGGTTATGATGCAGATAATATGAGACAAATGTGGAAAAGAAAGGTCACTTAATCCCGAGTAATACTTGGTGGTAAATAGCCATAAGGTGAGTTATCTCTTGGAGAAAAAAAAAGAGCAGGGCCAAAGAGCCTTGACTTCTTGTTTGGACATCCAAAGACTGGCTAACTGGTCAGGGTTAGCCAGGCTACCTGGCTGGCTGAGTTCTGCTATCTAATCCAAAGATGGACCAGACTTTTATGTGGATGGGAACGCAAGAAGCCCCACCCAATCAGACATAGTGTATCTTGGGGGTATCCTCTTAACACAGTTTCCACCCAAAACGATGTTCATAGCTCAAAAATGTTAAACTACAACTCACAATTCCCCAGGAAATTGCTGTCTACAGTATTTCAGAATACATCATCCAAAAGAGGAGGGTTCCAACCAGTGTGCAGGGATGATATAACAAAGTGATGAACGAGGACCCTGGAAATCAGCTTTGAAACCCCTGCTTGGCCACAGAAACTCACTGATGGTAGAATCAGTAAAACTGCACCCTATATATCTCGCATACTTTGAAAACCCTATTAGAATCCTTATAAGTGGGATGTGATTTGAGAGCACATAACAAACAAGTCTTCAGACTTAAAATCTGGTGAAGGCAGCATGCCAAGCCTCATTCATGGAAAAGAGCACAGAAAATAGGAAGACCAAGGACTAGCTCCTTTGTAAAACATGTTTCCTCAAGTGTACTGTCAGTCAGACAAGGTCTTTCAGGGTTGATCATCTTGCCCTAAGCACAGAGCTAATATTCTTCAACAGACAATCTAGTGACCCCTTCTCTAATGGAGATTGCCAGGTGTTTTGGACTACAACTCCCATCAGGGTCAACCAGTATATCCTAACTCCTCTGAAGGGCACTGTCTTATGAAAGGCTCTTGCAGGGCCAATAATGAGAGTTGTACTCCAACAACATTTGAAGGAACACACTTCATCACCACATCTTCTCTATGTCCTGATGGAAAGCTTCTTATCCTCCACATATTACCCTACAACTCTCACTGATGGGAGAAACAGCCAGAGGGACTTAAAACTCCAAAGCACCTAGAGGACCAAAAGGCTCATAACTATTGCCCTTGGTCAATGGTTCCCAACCTTTGGTCCACAGATGTTCTTGGACTAAAACTCCCAGAAGCCTGCGCCACTAGCTATGCTGACCAGGATTTCTGGAAATTGTAGACCAAAAATATCTGGGAACCCAAGGTTGGGAACCACTGCCCTAAGCGGTGGTGATTATGACAATAACCACTATGGTTTTTTTTCAAGTCAGTTTCTACTTATCACAACCCTCCACCCAAATACTCATACATGACCT